CAAGATGAGTGGGCAGCAGCTTTTGGAATGTCTGTCTGTGGTCAATCACCAATTCTGACTTGCTTGCTCACTCAAGTATCTACTTCCATTCAGTTGTGGGGCCTAAAAGACTATAAGAAGTCTTTGAGTCATCTCCCGTAAATCACTGTTGCAGCCAAAGCCAAGCAGTCTGGAAACAAAAGCCGCCCACCACTCTCTAATCAGTGGAGACAAAGACAGTATTTGTGAGGAAGAAATGACAGTGGACCCATAAGTGGCTGAGCTGCATGGCGGATGGGAAGAAATAAGCAGCAACCAATTACGTTAACACACTCAATCACAGATTTTCCTAGTTTGCTAATGTAACCTAGGGCCGGCCCAGGCACAGTCAACGAAGGACTGGATAATTGTATTTTCCTTGACTAAGGAAAAGAGGTACAGTTATGGTCAACCAGTAGAGGGCTCTCCTCAGACAATAGCACATGGGGAATATTTTTTTGGCAGAAAAGACAGAGAGGCCTTAAGCTTCACTACTACAGGCTTCTGGGCCTTATTGGTCACTCTTCAAGCATCGATAAGCCACTTACCTCTTCAGGATTTTAAACAGCATAATCCAGAAAGCATTTCCATACTAACTGGACCTATCCTACAAGGCACGCAACTCACTACACACCCGTGTTATTACCCAGCACAGCAGGTCATTTCTGGCTGTACCTCCCATAGATAATAAATAAGTTAAATGGCTTTAGACATTTCATCTCTTCTTCCAACCAACTTGCCAAAGTGGCCTTTACATGGGCTTGTGCACAATATTGTTTGCAGCTAGTTTCCATCCGCCTCTTGTAAGCGAAGTTTAGCATATTGCTACAGGGCCGCTTGTTCCAGTCTTGACTGGGGAACATGCAGTTTATCCTATTTCCCTTTCAGACCAGTGTCATACTGTGGCCATTGACTACAGTGCAGTTACTGCTTATGTACCCCAGTGTGAGAGGAGAAGCAGACCCAGCATGCATTCCATCCTCCACATCTGCTGGCTGATACAGTTAATTTTAAGAGTGTGTCCATCAACTTTTTAGCAGCAAAGAGCATCTCCGCTGGCCTATGACTGGTTGTTAGACTCTTCCTATGGGTTGTTTGAGGCATTGGATCCCACAACCTAGATCAAACCTCCCAACCCTATCAGAGCCAAGTTGAGTTGTTGTCTACCTCCGGTAAGAGAATTACACCAGTGCCCTCTGCTGTCCTGAGATCTGCACTGCACCGGGCAACAATGGAGAAGCCTTGTCTTTTTCAATATGTGGCCCGATTGGGTAATTTTAAAGAGCTGGGCTTGCCACTGTGCTCCCTTCATTTTATAGCCGCCTAGTGAGGGATGCTCTCTTATTGAGCCTGAATTCATTAACCAAGTAATTGAAGTCTCATTGTAAAAAGCCTGTCGGCCAATTAAAACAAGGCAGCTATTGAAAGGCAGCTGCCCCTTAGTTTCTGGATGCAGCATTCAGAAGTTCAGAGGGTGGAAAGTCCCTCCTGCAGGGTACAAACTGTGAGAGGTGGTTTAAAAAAAATGCCCAGATGCTAATTAAAAATTGGAATTCTTTATCCTGCTGGCAGCCATCTTAAATGGACAAGAATGCCAGTGGAAACATTGGTTAGGCCTCCTGTAAGACTTTTCAGACGGGCTTCCCTCCTGCTTTGTCATTGTTACTTTGCTCTGTCCTAGAATCCCAGGTGCCTGGCCCCAGCTGCAGTCATTTACACTAGTGTAATGTGCTTGCAGAGCAGGTGTACAATGCACTCATAGCTTCAGAGCATGTGCTGGTTAGAAGAGGCCATTAGATTAGCTAATCTGATTGCCTGCATAATGTAGAGCACAGCGTGTCCTCCAGTTACCCTTCTCTTGGGCCCAATAACGTGTGTCAGATTTGTAAAATACAAATTGGGGATGCTGTCAACTCACTTTTCTGAGACATGCTGTGTATTGAAGTGGTCATGATAGTGTTAACTGGGTTTACCTAGTGTATTATTGGATGGAGCCATGCTTCACTCACTCAATGCTGCTGGCAGGTTTTTTTTTCACCACAGCCTGGTTGAGGTAAGATAGCACGTTCCTAACCAGCAATACTGGGAGTAGATTCATTTTTTTTCTTTTTGTTGCACTGAGCAAAATAAATATTTGGCCAGATTCTCCACTGCTACTGAAGTGCCCTAGCCCTGCTGGACCAGCTCAGAGACCTTACATCAGCCACATAGCTGGTTCATGTGTGGGGAGGTATAAAGGTGTTTACAGCCAGCTTTGCCTGAGGGGTGCAGCTAAGGGCTTTGGGACTTTACAGATGACGTCCTGGCGTCCATTTTGCATGAATGTTAAAGCGTCACAGAGCTTTCCTCAAGGAGGGGCTTTGCCCCTATGCTCTACAGAGGAGACATTTTGCACTACAACCTGTCTGGCATGCAGTATGCTGCATATGAAAAAGCCTTATTTGCCTGTCATTTAAGTCAATGGCACCATCTCCTTTGACTTCAGTGTGAACAGAATCAGGCCCTACTGCCACACCAGCGGTGGTTGCATGTCAGTGGCTCTAGTGGTATATACAGTAAAACTCCAGTTGGCCGGCATCCAGTGGTCCAGCACTCCTGCTAGTCCAGCACCACCTGGAACCCATAAGTGCTCCAGGCAGTCGGACAATTGGAGCTGCTCTGCCCTGGGCTTCCTGGAGTCAGTCGCTGGTCAGTTTCAGCTGCGGCTGACTTGGGGAAAGTCTGGGGCAGAGCAGCTGGGGTGCTGCCGGGTTGGTCCTGCAACACTGCCCCCGCCCCCAATCCCCTCCACCCTAGACCCCTCATAGCCCCTCCTTCTGATAGTCCGGCATAAAAATAATCCCCTGGGTCCTAAAGGTGCCGGATTATTGGAAGTTTACTGTAATTGCAAAACCCTTTGGGCTTTTGTGAGTTGCTGTGTGCATGAGAAATATAATTAATGTCTTTGATGTGGAACTCTGGCACTGTTGCCCTTGTTACTACTGAAGGCATTTGTCAACAAGATGGCCACTGGCAGATGGAGACTCAGAAAGATCCAGTAACTCTTGTTTTGAAAATAGAGGGACTCTGTGTGTAAATAGATGGATTTTTAAAAAAACCTAAAACATTTGCTTGAAACAAGGTGGGGGGGGGGGGGGATTTTAAAGCCCATCCTATTTTATAATCACCCACATCCCTGGACTGATAGCATCTCAAGCGGGCGAGGCACAGATTCATAGAGTCCAGAAGCTACTGCTGAGATCATCTCATTAACCTCCCCCCTCTATAGCAGAGGCCACAGAGCAGCTCTAATGCCTAGGGAATATCTAGGTAGGAGGCTACCCCTGGTTTCCATGGCAATCTGGCTTTTTGGAAGGCCTGCAGGTTTCACGAGTCCCCAATTTATCAGCCTTGTAGCGTGTATATTAATGGACAGTGGGCAGTGAGGCGAAGCATGAATGGTATGCATCCATTGGCTGGAGGCGGAGAGGTGGGTGTGGGGCTGTGTAGTAAGGCTGAAGCAATTTGGTCTCTTGTCACTTGGCGATGAAGGGGGAGTATATGGGGGGGAGGCAACTGTCATCAATTTAGAAGGCACTGGAAGCATTTTGCTGCAAAGAGGGAGCACTACTGTCTCCATGTCCAGTTGGGGAGAGGCACATGCACAAGGCTTGTGTCCTGTGTCGTAATAGACACAATGTGGCTCCACAACAAAGAGGACACTGTATTTAGAGCCTAATCAACCCAATGAGAGAGAGAGTGTAGA